GGCGGAGGGGCGGAGGGGTGGGGGGCCGGGCGGGCGGGCGGGCGGGCGACGGCCAGGCTGCGGACATGGGAACGGGTACGGACACACACACCTCTCGTGCGGGCCGACTTGGCATGGCAGGGAAGCGGCGGCGTGCAAGTGCGAAAGCAGTGCAGGCAGAGCAGAGTGCTTCTGTGCTGAGTAAGGATGCGGTGGACAAGGTGCTGCTCTCGGGAAGGTCGCTTGTGGTTGATGATGAGAGCAATACCGCCCCTGTGGTCGTCCAGGTGGCCGCCGTCTACAAGTTCGCCCCCACTGCAGAGTACGGCACCGTCGTCGGCGCTGTCATGCCTCCGGCCGCTCCTTACGCATACGACATTGTCCTCTCGGATGGATCACATATGGTACGGTGGTGGTGGTGCTTGGAGGGGGGCACCGTGAGGTGGGTGGGTGGGTTGGTGGGGGAGGGCGGGCTGAAAACTGGCGCGAAAACTGGCGCGCTTTCATGACGGCTGGAAAGGGGGGGGGGGATGGGGGAGCATGCGGGTAGACTCACGCATGCGGGAGGTGGGGGGGTGGGGGCTGGATGTGCAGACCAAGGTGGTGCTGGCACCTGTGCTTGGGAAGCTGGTGGAGAGCGGCAAGTTGGTGCGCGGGGCCGTTGTCGAGGTCACCGAGCTCCGGGTGCGGTACGATGAGACGAGGGTCGGCGGCCCGGGCTTCCTCGTTCTACATGGACTCAACCTGCGGGTCTCACCGCTGTCGGACGAGTGGCCGGTGGGCGAGATCTTGGTGAATCCTCTCGTGCCACTGGTGTACTCGAGCAAGGCGAGCGAGGCCGAGCAGGCCTTTGCTCCGCTGACGCAGGTCCGCTCCACATATCTCAACTTGGATGACGACCACTCGCTCCCGCCTGGACCAGAGTGGCAGGCGAGTGGGGCGCTGGACATGAGCGCAGACGAGGTGGCAGCGTTCGAGGCCGAGATTGCGGCGACGCCGCTGCCGTCGCTCGCCGAGGCTGTCACCAGCTTCAAGTCGAACAAGGTCGGCAGCTCTCCGCTGCTGGGCAAGGTGACAGGCAAGCAAGTGCTTCAGTACTACGGTGGGCCGAGCTCGTCGGCGCGGGTCCCGTTCAAGTTCTCATTTGTGCTTGAGGACCTGACGTATCGGATCGAGGCTGTGGTGTGGCAGGAGGCGTGCCGTGAGTTGTACGCCGACCTTGCTGTCGGCGACCTTGTGGTGGTCACCGGGTACCGGTCGAAAAAGTCGTACAACTACCGTGATCTGTGGGAGCTCTCGCTCAACATCACCCACCCAGCGGCGTCTGTGCGGCGGATTCCACCGGGTGCGGCACCGTCGCTTGCGCTCCCGCGGCCGGTCCTGGACTACATCCCGCTCCGTGCACTGCTGCACGTGCCCGACGGCGTGCGGGTCGACATTGCCGGCATTGTGGTCTACGTGTCGTCGCCCAGGTCTGCTGCCCGCCACGGGTCGGCACCGTCGCGATCGCTCTTCCGCTACGTCGAACTGTCCGAGGGCGAGGCCCAGCTGGTGACGCTCAAGATGTACCGCGCCGGCGCCGAGGAGCTGTTTGACAGCATCGCACAGGGTGACGCGCTGCTGGCGACCTCGGTGGTGGTCAGCTCGGTCATACCGTCGTCGGACGATGGGCGGCTGCTGGTTCCGTACGGCACCTCGTTCTCGCAGTACTACTCGGACGGCATCGGCTCGCAGACCATTCCGTACTCGATTTCGCGGTACCCAGGGCTGGCGAGGCTGTTTGCGCTCGAGCGCGGGTTGCGGGCCAACATGATGGCCGAGCTCTCGCTCGGCTGCAATCCCGTCGTCCCGCATCTCCCCTCATACTCGATGTTCCAGCGGCTGGTGCCCGAGGCCCAGGCGGTGCCGCTGCAGGTACTCGTCTCCAGCGCCCTGCCGACGCTGCCGGTCCATGAGCGGACTACGGTGGTGCTACAGGGCCGGGTGGCGCGAATCCGGATTCGCAACCCGAGCATGGTTGACATGCCGTCGCTCGCCGAGCTCGCCGCGCCCAAGTCGCGGCGCAAGACATTGCGCAAGTCGGCGTCGGCGTCGGTGTCGCGGCGTGGCACAAGCGACGACGACGACGATGCCGCCGCCGAGAGCGTTGGCGTCCAGATCGTGCTCGACGCCGAGGCGTTTGACGCCGGCCTGCCACACCAGGCCTCATCAGTCCATGTCAACTCGCCGAACTTGCCGCACATGCCGTACGTCGAGCTCACTGTTGTTGACCTCAACCGGTCTGCACTCATTGATGTTGCGATCGTGCCGCGCGTCTCGAGCGAGGCCAAGCTTGTCGATGGCGACGGCTTTGACGTCAAGCTCCTTGCTGCCGCCCTCGCCTTTATGCCGCGTTCCATCCACCTCCCGCAGCTCCCACCCGCCGACGACGAGAGCGATGTTGCCAGTGCGCTCGCCCACTTTGCCGACAGCGTCCGCGACAACGCGTACGCCTTTCGGGTCGAGGCCCACTCGCGCGGGCCTTGGTCGCGCGACGGCCGCTTTGTTGAGGCACACCTCGTCTCGATGTACGATCTGGCCCAGCTGGACAAGCCGGCCAAGGTTGTGAGCAAGCGCAAGAAGGAGAGCAAGAAGGCGAGCAAGAAGGCGAGCAAGAAGGAGAGCAAGAAGGAGAAGAGCAAGCGGAAGCGGAAGAAGAACAAGTCCAAGAAGAAGGTCAAGAATAAGGGGAATTCGACTCGGCGGGCGTCCACCCGTGATGCGTAGTGCCGTGTAAATGATGCCTAACTGCGCGCCGTTCCCGGGCGGGGCGAGGTGGCGGGGCGGGGTACTGCGGTGGCTTTCGAGCCACCTGACTCTCGCCAACTCACATGTCTGTCTACATCCGCGATACCAAGCACGAGCACGGCAAGGCGACCAAGGGCTTTACCCTGGACTCTGTATGTAGAAGAAAAGGGAGTGTGTGTGTGTGGGTGGGGGGGGTGTGCGGTGTGTGTGTGGAGGGGTGGGGTGGAAGTCCCGCCAGTTCTGAGGAAGACCAGACAGACGGTGGCGCCTTGTTTGGGGGTGGAGTGGGGGGAAGGAAGCGGGGGGGAAGGGGGGACACTTACATGTGTGGTACATATAAATATGTATATATATATACATATATGTGTGTGTGTTGTATGCGTGCATGTGTGGCGTGGCGGTGAGGATAGGACGGGAGTGATGATGGTAGGTGTGGCGGCCGAGGAGCCGGGGACGGGGAACGGGTGGGGGGCGGGGGACAGGGGAGGGGAGGGGACGATGGGACAGCAAAGGCGATAGCTGGGAGCGGAGACGGACTAACAGGCATGAGATGATTCTGGATGATGGTGGTGGGGGGAGGGCAGACTGGGAGACCGATCCGGATTACGTCAACGACATCTCGGAGAAGGACCAGCGGTGGGGCTCCAAGGCGACAGGCCTGATGCGCGGCGCGGTGGAGGATGTCAAGGACATCCACGCCCTGCGCGAGAAGGCCAAGGCCCAGGACACTGTTGCCGCCGAGGCCGACTACGTCCAGCGCGGCAAGTTCTCGCGCGGGTACGGCGGTGACAATGGGGTCGAGGGCGCCGATGCGTCGACCACCGCCGAGCCGCGGACGGCGCCCGCCGCCGCACCGGCCAAGGCCGCACCGGGCCCGCCGGCTACCAAGGAGACCTGCACAGCCGTCTACGACTACGAGGCCACCGACGACACCGAGCTCTCTTTCAACGAGGGCGATGTCATTACCGTCCTTGAGAAGATCGATGACGGCTGGTGGTCCGGCGAGCTCAACGGCAACGTCGGCGTCTTCCCGGCCAACTACGTAGAGCAGTGATCAACGGTGGGGGTGCTACTCGCAGAGCCTACCCACGACAGCCGCATAAACTCGGGCATCCGCGTCGACGATGAGGTCGACCGAGCCAAAGTCGAGGACGTTTCCGACGACCCCGACGACGAGCTCTGCGGAACGTCTGTGGCAGACACAGATACGAGGACGGGTCCTGCCGAGAACGGCCGCATCCGCCGCTTGATCTGCCGCCTCCCCCGCCGCCTTTTCCGCCGCCGCAGGTCAGAGGCGTCCGGCGTTGTTCGCCCCAAGATCCGCGTCGTCCGCCACAGCCAGAGCCCGAGCAGCCCGGCGAGGAGCCCACCAGCGAGTGCAGCACCGACAATTGCAGCGATGGCAGCCGGGCTGAGCTCGGCGGCGCTTCCCTGACTCCGCCGCATCTGCAGTGTGCACGCCGATGCCGCACACACAACTTGGATCCCGGCGCCGCCAAACGAGGCCAACTTGCCGTCGACGCCAACTAACTCAACCGCGTCGATGTCGCCAACCGCCTCGCCGGTGGCAGCGCCCACAACCGTGCCGACTCCATCCACAGACACGTTGGCAGCGGTGGCAGACGGATCGTCAAACTCGATGCGAAGTGTGCCGGCGAGCGCGAGGCCGCGAGGCCCGGCCCGCAGCGGCGCCTGTGCCGGATCGCGGCTCGGCCGCGCCATCCGCACCAGCAGACGCGACTGTGCCGAGACCGCCAGCCCGCCGGCAAGCACACTGCCGACAGAGCCAATGTCCAGCGAGCTGTTGAATCGTAGCGCGAGCACGCCGCCGGTCGCGAGCGGACCATCAACGACGAGGCGACCAGACTCGCCGACCACCAGCACGCTGTTGTTGGGCGCGACGCTGGCCAGCGCGACGCCAGCGAGCGGAACGAATGCAGAGCCTGCAAGCACAACAATCCGGGTCGCGTTGGCTGGCGCCACCGCTTCCAGCGCCGGGCCGAGCGCCTCGCCGGAGAGCGCGAGCTCGGTCGTCTGGCCACGGGCGCCCGGATGCGCGACAAGCGCCTCGGGCACAACGCTCCGGATCCAGGCCACCACCGCGTCAATCCGCACATACACGCCCTTGCGGCCCTCGCTCCCACAGACAACCGAGCCGAACGACGCGACGCCGGCAACGAGCCAGGCTGTTGGCTCGCCACGAACCGGAACAAGCATCGGCCCACCCGAGTCGCCGGCGCACGAGGTCATCTCGCTCCTGCTGGGTGCCGAGGCGCAGATGTGCTGGCTGGCGTTGATCACGCCGCCTTTGTACCCACATTCGGACGGCGGAGCAACCCGCACATCACCGTAGCGGGCTGTGGCTGGGAGCGAGGCGGTCGATCCCGACGGATGAGTGGCACCAAAGCCGACTAGCACCCCATCCAGCCCATTCGGCGGGCGTACAGCCGCCAGCGGAAGCGGAGATACTTTGTTGCTGTCGACCGCCTCGTCGAGGACCATGATCGCCACATCGTAGCCAGACCGGACCCGCCCATCGTACCCCGGATGGACGAGAGTCTCGACGACCGCCCGCACAACTCCCTCGCCGCCTGCGACGGCATAGCTGGTTCCGATGCGGACAGCCAGAGTAGCCACGTCTAATCCCACCAGACAATGTGCTGCAGTAATGACTTGCTGCCGACCGATGAGTCCGCCCGAGCACCGCATGACTCCGGAGCGGGTGATCCGGACCAGCGCCGCTGGCGGGACGACCACCCCGGCCAGCGCCGCTCCGCCAGCCACCACCCGCGGCCGGGCCAACCACGGGCTCTCCCCCGCAGCGGCCATTTCCAGCAGAACCAGGCCCAGCAACGCCATCCAACTCACTACACACATGGCGAACACGTGCCGAGTGGGGTTGGGGGAAGGGCCATCACGTGGGACCTGACGTGTTCAGTCGGTGGTCTCTCAAGCCACAGCAGGTAGAGGACTCGATCATGGCGAGACAGGCACACGGGTACACCCACCCATGCGCACGCACACCCACCCACCCACCTACGCATGCACAAACAAAAACAGCCCCCACCCACAGTGCGATGCACCGCCCTGATCAGACCCTCATCAATGCCAGGATCACATCTTGATGCGCCATACTCTGCCGCACTGATGTGGTTCTTCGGCTTTGGTGACATCGCTTGGACTGCCAATTAGCAGAGAGCCAGCCACCGCCACCGCCACCACCACCACCGCCATAGCCACAACCACTTCTCTCTCCCCTCTCCCCCCTCCCACCCCCCCCCCCCCCCACCCCTCTCGCCATGTTCATCTACCGCAAGGCCCCCATCATGGACCAGGCCGAGTACGACCGTGTCCGGTACCGGGTCCATACGCTGCGGAAGGTCTACGTGGTGGTGGCGACGCTCAACCTGCTGGTGGACATGGTGGTGCTGGCGGCTCTAGGCATGGCACTACGCGGCTCAGATGGCTTTGCTTGCTGCACCACATGCTCCCTCTCGGTATTCGAAAACAGTGCCAAGGCCTCGGATCTGCTCCGCCAGCCGTTTAACTCGACGTGTGTGGCATCGGCCGGCTCGGACGCCATGCGCTCGCTCGAGGCTGCTTGCCCACAGCTCAGCTGGGCTTTGCCGTGTGCTGGGCCGGAGCTCTGCTCAAAAACCGCCCTGCGCAATGCTTACAATCAGGCCGTCTCCATGCTGGTCTACGTCATTGTCGCCAAGCTGGTGACCTTGCTCATTTCCTTTGTCTCGCTCATGGCCATCACCATCAAGCCGCTCCCGCCGGGCTCCAAGCGGAAGAAGGCTTCGCGATGCGTCATCTATCTCGCCGCCCTTGCCGGCCTCATCCTCTCCATCCTCATCTTTGTGCTCGACGTGCAAGACGACTTCCAGATGCCCAAGTGCGGCAACGTGTTCAAGGGCGATGCCAAGGACGCGTGCGAGACCGCGAGCAGCACGTGCGGTCTCTCGGTCCTCGTCGTCATCTCGTCAAAGGGCGGCCTCACGTTCCCGGCTGTTGTCTCGCTCATCACCGCAATTGTCGCCGTCGTCCTCCTCCTGCTCCGCTACTTGCTCTGCCGCAAGAAGATGGCACCCATGTACAAGACCACACACAAGGCCTCCAACGCCGACGCGTACGACACCATCACTCCGCATCCAACCCCATCGGTCAAGTACCCGGGTGGCCCGCCCATCGACTCGGTTGAGCGCCGCGCCCGTACAAAGTCGCGCGCCGCGTCGCGCTCCGAGGTCGCCAAGCCAGACGCCAAGTCCAAGTCCAAGCCCAAGTCCAAGCCCAAGTCCAAGTCCAAAGCCAAGGCCAAGGCCCGCCGCAAGCCTGACACCGATCTTGTGCCACAGCGCGCGCCGCCGCCTGCTGCGGACCTGCCTCCGCAGCGCAGTGCGCCGCCGCCGGCAGCCTATGGATACTCGGACCAGCCGGTTCCCGGCCACCCGTACGCTACACCGGAATGGGCCCAGAACCTCGAACTGGTCCCGCCACCATCCAACAACGGCACCACTCCGCGCGGCCGCCAGGCCGGTGGGCCCGCCGTTCCTCACGGCGCTGACCTCGCAGCCGCCACGCACGGCCACTGGGCCTGCCTCGTTTGCACCCTCCACAACGATGTCCTGGCCGACGTCTGCTCGGCCTGCGGCACTTCGCGCCGCTGAGCCAGCTCATACGATCTTGAACAAACACCTCCGTTGCGCCGCTGCCTTTCACATTGCCGCCCGCAGCAGCTCGACCACCCGCGCATGCCCGGCCGCCTCCGCCCCAATCAGCGCCTCGCTCCGCCGTGCCCGCGGATTCACGAGTCCGGTCGCGAGCAGGAGCGCTACAATGTCGGCGTGTCCGTTCTTGGCCGCCCATCGCAGCGGGTAGTTGTCGACGGCACCAGGCTCGGCGCCGGGCGCGCCGAGTATCAGCTCCACCACTGCTGTGTGACCGGCCTTGGCTGCCCGGCACAGCGCGAGGTTGTCGCGACTGCCGGCGTCGACGCGCCCGTCGCACAGCAGGAGTGCCACCACCTCGGCATGTCCCTCATCCGCCGCCGTCAGAAACGCTTCGCTCGAATCGTGGCTAGGATCCACCCGTGGGTCGGCAAGCAGCAGCTCGACCAGAGTGACGTGTCCGGCCTCGCACGCTGCTCGCAGCGCGCCCTGCCCGCGCGCCGCAGGATCGACGCCCTCGACCGTCAGGAGCGCAGCAACAACCTCTTCCTGTCCGGAACCGGCAGCCGCAACCAGCACCCGGGACATCTCCTCGCTGGCGTCGACAAGACCGGCTGCCACCAGGCCCCGCACCACACCGGCCATTCCAGCGCCAGCCGCCTCTCGCAGCATCGCCAGCCTCCGCCGTGGCGCCAGCTCTCCCGCATGCGCCACCACCAGCTCTTCCGCCATCGCATCAAGCCTCCGTCTCACGCACCACTCGATAATCGTCTCATCTCGGATCTTGCTTCCACCGTCGAGCACAGAGCTGCTGCTGCTTCCGTCGTCGTCGTCGTCATCGTCGTCATCGTCGTCTTCGTCCTCGTTGTTTGCGTCGAACTCGTACTCGTCATCGATGTCCGGAACCGAGTCCCATTCGATCCGCTCTTCTGGCCACACCCGCACCCGCACCCGCGCACCGTCCTTCACCGGTGCTACAATCCGAGCCTTTGCCATCGCCCGCACCGCATCGGCCCAGCCTGGCGACCCGGCAAGGCCGGGCGCAAAGACCGGAGCGAGCCATGCATGCGGCCGCGGCCGCCACCGGATGTCGCCTTCAGCCTCAGCCTCGCTCCGCAGCTCGAGCTCCAGCGCCAGCCGCGCACCTTGCCACATCCCGGCCTCGGCGCATCGCTCAAAGCCGACGAGCGCATGCGCCCGGCTGGCCGAGTACGACGAGCCCAGCAGCATGGCATGCAGCCGGCGGCAGGTCCTTGCCATGGCCACCACATCAGCCGCAGCAAGGACGCCCACGCCAAACGCAACGCGGTGAACAACCTCCGCAGCCATGTCCTCAAGCCCCACCCCACCTTTCCTCGCGTCTTTCGCCATGCGTCGTCCGCTGTGCTGTCACGTGTTGTGTGCCCCCCCCCCCCCCCCCCCCTCCCCTCTCTGTCGCTCTGTTCCTTCCATTCCACGACCTTTTTCGGACAAGCCTCCCCATGAATGCCCCATTGGCCTCCTCAGACTCCGATCGCGTCACACTCCCCTCCGCCCTCACCCCCCCCCCCCCCCCCCATACCCCCCACGCCATGCACGACTCGAGCAGGCCCCCCTCGCTGACGTCTACCGTCAACGCATCCATTCTGGCCACGGCCGACATTGCGCCGCCCACCCTTGCTGGGCCTACCTCGCTTGTCCTCGCCGCTACGGGGCCGCGTGTGTCCGGTAGCACCAAGCGCCGGGTGATGGCCGACGTCCTCGCCTCGCTCGCTGTGCCGGACGTGAGCTACGTCTCCCCGCTGGCGGCCAAGGTGCCTCGGCCGCTCCCAGAGCTGCTAGACGAGAAGCCCGAACTTGCTGCACGCATCACGCCCGCTGGTCCACTTGCCGACGTCGTAGCCGCCATTGCTTCCTCGGCGCCGCACTTGGTGGCCGAGCCGCCGCGGCCGAAAAAGGTCGTGAAATCTGCCGACGACGAAGACTCCCAGCTCGCCAAGGGCAAGGGCAAGGGCAAGGGCAAGCGCCGCAAAAAAGCTCGCATCCGCAACATGGCCGAGACCCTTTGTCCGGCCCCGGCCAGCGCCCCATCCCCGCCGCCATCCGACGCGTCGGCCACCGGTGTCGCCGCGTCGCCGTCGCCGCCGCCGGCGCTCCCCGCCACGTCGCCGTCGCGCCGCAAGCGCAAGGGCAAACCGGCTCCAGCATGGCCGCCGCTTGCCAACGCCGTCCCGCCATCCGACTCGGGCTCCGGCTCCGGCTCCGGCTCCGACTCGGGCGTTGCCGCCATGGACTACGGAGGCTCGCATCACAACGGCCCGGGCCCCGATGCGCTCCTTGCCTCGGCCCCGTTTGCCAAGTTCACCCCACTCCTCGACGACCTCCTCGAGCACGAGGAGCTCGTGCGGAGCGCGCCGCACGAGCTGCATGCCCACTTTCCGGCCGTCAAAATGGCCTCATTCCGCGCCGCGCTCGCCACCCTCGCCCGCCAGCGGCTCCTCGCCCGGGCCCCACTTGACATGCTCCTCCGCCTCACCGCGCTCCTCCGTGGCGTCTTTGAGCCAGCGTCAAGCCTCGTCCTCTCGCTCGATGCCCAGTCCGCCAACGCTCCCCTCCACCCACACCTCGCGCTCGCCCTCGAGGCCCTCCTCACTGTCCTCGCCATCATGACCGCCCCCGGCATTCCGCGCCAGCTTCGCTCCGAGGACCTCATCGAAGCCGTCCTCACCTTTACGAAGACCCATCTCCGCGTCAACATCTTCCCCGCCCACGACATCTCGTACCTCCGCCCGTCGTCGGCCTCTGCTTCCGCCAACACGCTCTACACCGGTCGGAGCGACGGCGAGTCGGACGACGACGATGACGTCGACGACGACGACGATGGCGTTGGCGACCATGCGTCCGACGACAACAGCAGCGCACCTCTCGCCGCTGGTGGTGCTCGGGGCAAGGCGCCGCGCGCACGCAAGGCCGCCAAGCTCCGCACCGTCAACATGCTCACCACCAAGATCATCGACGCCTTTGCTGCCTGGCGCGCCCTTGTTCAGCTCACCACTCACTCGGACACCGTCGTACTCGGGCTCACCTCGATGATCCTCTCAACTTTCTTTGTCGAGGGCGTCGCGCCACTCCAGCTCGCCACCCTGCCGGTCATCCAGAGCATCTTTGCCCGCTACCCGCTCCACAGGCTCACCATTCTCGAGGACATTCTGACATCGCTCGACAAACTGCCGGTCTCGCGGCGCGGGCTCCGGTCGTACCGCATCGAGCATGAGATTGTGCCGTTTCTCCCGGGCTCGGCGGCAGCGGCAGGCTCGCCGCCGCGTGCCATTCAGATGGTCTCGGCCCTTGTCATGCTCCTCCTCCAGTCGTGTCCTGTACTCTCGGCCAAGGTCTCCCACGGTGACGGCGACGACGACGGCGACGACGAGAACGGGTCGGTATCCGACGACGAGGCCAACAGCGTTGCTCTTGCCGAGGGTTCAACCTACGCGCACGCGCTCGCCTCGGGCCGCGCCTTTGTCGAGCTCTTCCTCAACAAGGCCATCTCGGTCCTCGGCGGAGGCGGCCCCGGCTCACCAAACAAGCGCACCCGCAAGGCCGATCTCGCCACCGACTACAAGGCGCTCTTTGACAACTTTGTCGCTGATGTCCTTGCCGTTCTCGACCACCCCTCGTGGCCGGCCGCCGAGGCCCTTGCCCGCTTCATCTCGGTCACGCTTGCTTCGCGCTGCGCTGGCAACCGCGGCATGGTGCCCACCGCTCAGGCTGCGTTTGGCATCTCGCTCCTCGGCCGCGTCGCCGCCACCCTTGCCGCCCATGCCGCCGCCGCCATCCCCGCCGTTGTCGCCCCACACGCCGCCGCCACGTCGGCAGCCGCCGCGCCTGCTGAAGACGACCACACCAACGGCACACCTTCCATCCACGCCTCGCTTGCAAAGCTCGAGCGCTCGTCATCGTCGCTCTCCTCGGGCCTCCCTCCTGCACTGCCGTCGTCGCAGGGCGACCCGGCTCAGCTCGGCGAAGACATCTCGTGCGTCGAGTGCGCCATCGAGTACGTTGGCCAGTTCATGATTTCCTGCGACGAGTGCGCCCGCTGGTTCCACGGGAGCTGCATCGGCCTCGCCGAGGCCGACACCCCGCCTCTCTTCTTCTGCGACGCCTGCCTCATCACCGCGCTCGCAGACGAGCTTGCCGCCTCTGCTCTCGCCCGAGAGGCCAAGCGGCTCCAGTCGCGGCTCCGCTTGGTCCGCCTCGGCGGCGGAGACGCCAGTGCCGTTGCCGGCCTCCAGGCCAAGCTCACCGCCCTCGGCGCCACCACCATCCCCCCGCCACGCGACCTCGCCCAGCACGTCCTCCTCGCCAACGCGCTCGCCATCCAGGCTGCGTCGGCGCCGGCCGCAAAGTTTGCGCGTCTCTACTACCTCGCCCAGTGGGAGGCGAGCTCGGAGCTCCCGCCGATGCTCAAGACCGTGTACCATGAGCTCGCCGCCATCGACGTCTCCACTGCCGACTTTCGCCCCGCAAACATGCGCTCGCGCAAGTCACTGCTCTCGGCACTCCGCCCTTCGGCTCCTGGCGGGCTCCGCCGCTCGCAGTCGGACGCCGGCGCCGAGTCGGTGCTCGCCGGCGCCGCGCGCGCCTCGCTTGATCCGGCCTCGCCCACCCTGCTTGTTCCCTCGCTGCTCGGGACCCAGCAGCTGGCGATCAGCCTCGCGCTCAACCGCCCGCTCGCCCGCTCGCTCCCGCCCCTTCTCTCGGCGCTTGTTCTTGCGCTGCAGGACTCGTCAACCTCGCTTCGCACCCAGGCGCTTCGTGCCGTCGCCGCCGTCGTCAAGACCGCCTGGTCCCATTTTGAAGTGCCACAAGTCCGCTCCGCCGTCCTCGGCCGCATGCTCGACGAGTCGGCTCGCGTCCGCGAGACCGCGCTCGACCTCCTTGGCGAGGCGCTGATGCAGGTGCTCGACGCGCGCGCTGACCCGCTTCGCCGGTCCCGCAAGACTGGCATGTACATTGTCGACTCGGACGACGAGCGCGCCGCTGACGATGAGGTTTCAGGCCTCGCCTCTGCATTGCCCTCGCTCGACGCGCTGCTCTCGGCCATGGCCTCGCGCGTCCTTGATACCGCCGTCTCGGTCCGCGTTCGCGCCATGAAAGTCCTCGGCCAGTTTGTGGCCAAGTCGCCGCGCCATGCCTCGGTCCCCTGGGTCCTCAAGCGCCTCGCCTCGCGCATCCACGACGAGGAGGAGTCGGTCCAGGACAAGACAAAGGCTCTCTTCCGCTCGCTCTGGCTCGATGACAACTCACCGCTCCCGCTCCGCGCCCGCATCGGCCAGATCCTGGCCCTCGTCGCCATCCTCTCCGACGATGACGCTTCCGCAAACGACAACACCGACACCGAGACCTCGTCGGTTCTTCTCGCCGCCTCCTCGGCCCAGTGGTTCATCGACCTCATGGCTGAGCTGGTCGGCGCCCCGCCGTCCCCGCCAGCCCGCGGCCTTGTTTCCCAGCTCGTCGACGAGATCCTTGCCCACGACCTCTCCGGCTTTTCACCCAAGGTCCGCGCCGCGCCGCTAGTTGTCCGCATGCGCGCTCTCTTTCTCATCGCCCAGGGCTCGCCAGCCGCCGCCGCTCCGCACGCCGCCCAGCTCGCGCCGTACCTCCGGGTTGCTGCCTCGGGCGCCTCGACGGAGGCTCTCGCTACCCTCGCCCTCGCCGCCGAGATCCTCGCCCTCGCCCTCCCGGTCATGCCACGCCCGGCGGCCTCGTTCGCTTCGCTCGCCGAGACCGAGCTCACTGCTGCGCTCTTCCAAAAGCCCGCCGACGTCATTCCGGGCGTGGCCAAGGCACTCGCCGCCCTCACAACTCACGTCACCCGCTCCGCGGCCCGGCTCCGCGACGCCGTCCTCGGCAAGTTCTACGCCTTTGCCTCGCAGTGCGCCGGCCTCCCGCTCCACCAGCTTACCGAGAAGGCGCGCCGCAACCTCCAACGCGCCCTCTTTTGCATGGGCCTCCTCGTCCGCCACTACGACTTTGATGCCACTCTGGCGTCCGCCCCGCTCGCATCCTCGCCATCCTCGGTCTTTGCCCCTGCTCGACCCGACGAGGACGCCTCACCGGTCACCGCCGTCTACGAGCTCATGCTCCAGTTTACGAGCCATCCTGACGCCAACGTCCTTCTCCGCGCCCTTCAAGCTGCCGGCAACGTCTGGATCCGCAAGCCGTCGCTGCTGGAAAAGACCTCGCGCGCAGGCGCGCTCGCCAAGTGGCTTGCACCGTCGACGCCGCATCGGATCCACTCGACCATCCTCCGCTGCTTTGCCCAGCTTCTCGCGGCCGAGGAGCAGGAGCGCTCGTCCTCGCACCTCGTCGCTTCCACCAACGCTGCCGCCGTGACCGGCAAGGCGCTCTCGCTCAAGGCTGCCGCGCTCGCCAAGCGCGGGACGACCGCCAAGCGGGCGTGGATGGGAGGCCTGACCATGGACGACGAGTCCGACACCGAGCTCGCCTACATCTCGGCCTCGTCGGGCGTACTGCAGACTCACTTTGACGCCGTGCTTGCGCTTGTCGCCTCGCCGGTGGCCCAGGTCCGCGCCGCCGTCCTCCAGGTCCTCGGCCTCCTTCTTCGTCAAGGCCTTGTCCACCCCATCATCGCTGTTCCGCCGCTCATGGCCGTCGCCTGCGCCCGTGCCTCGTCCGCAACCCTCGCCGACATGGCCTTCCGCCTCCTTGCCCACATCGCCGATAAGGACTCGGACATGATCCACTCGCGCCTCATGGACGGCGTCCGTCTCGCCTTTGACCAGGGCGCAGCTGGCCCGGCACTGGCCGCCGCCGCTCCAGTCCTTGCTTCGGCGCCCTGTGACGGCGCCGTCACCCTTCCAGGCCCCTTCTTTGTCCGCCTGTACCAGCTTGTCGCTTCCTCACGCCCACGCCGCTGCGCTTGGCTCGGTGCCCTTGTCCGCACCTTTGAACCGTCGCGCGCTCAGCCGCCGCCGTTTGACTACCTCGTCTTTATCGCCGGCCTCCTTGCCCATCTGCCCTACCGCAAGGAGGACGCTGTGCTCTACGTCGTCTACGAGGTCAACCGCCTAGTCGCATCGGCCGGCGGACTCATCGAGGGCGCACTTGAGGCTTTTGTCGACGGCAACCCAGAGGTAAGCCCGGTACTCTCTTGCCGCGACGCCATCAACGCATCCTCCGCCCTTATCCTCCTTCTCCGCCTCAAGCGCGGGCTCAAGATCTTCTACGGCCTCACCGAGGCCAAGTGCGAGGGTTACACCCCGTCGCGCCTCACCATCGACCGCTCGGCCTCGCCCACCGCCTCCGCATTTACACTGCCATCGTTTGGCGATCCCGAGATGCCCGACGACACTGCCATCGCCGCCAACCCACACGCCGCGAGCGCGCTCCACCTCCTCCGCGCCGCCATCGAGGCCGACGAGGTCTCGGTCAACCCGCTCATCACCTCGCGCCGCAAGCGCTCACGCGCGTCCACCGGCCACAGCAACAACGATGACGATGCCTCGCCCACCAAGCGTGCGCGTGGCTTGAAGTCGACTCGCCGCAAGCCGCTTACAGCCTCTCGCAAGCGCCGCCGCCGTCGCACTGCTGCCGCTGCTCTCGACCTCGACCTCGATGCCTCGGCCTGTAGCGGCGACGACAGCGACTCGGCCGGCGCCTCGGGCGCCGCCACTCGCCGTGCCTCCAAGCGGCGCAAGACCCGCTCTGCCGCCGCCCTTCGTGCCGTTGCCGCACAGCTCGAGGCCGACGACGATCCGCTCGTCACTTCGCAGGCGAGCCAGGCCCGCAACGACTCAGAGTCGGACTTTGAGCCCGACTCGGCCGCTGCCTCGGACGACGACGAAGAGTACGAGTACGACGAGTAAATGAATTAGCACTCGCTCCCTTGCAGGGTTAGGATGATGTGTTTACTCTGGAGTGCTCGAGTGCTCGGAGGACGAGTTCTCGGACAACGCATGGGCGGGGTGATGCGAAGGCGCAGGCGCAACAGACACCGCCGTCACACCCGGAAACATCTCGAGCTCAACGCCGTCGGCCGAGTTTGAGCCGCCGTCGAGTGCAGGCGCCGTCGAGACGACCCTGCTGGCGCCGATCGGCGCTGCCCTCTGACCATCGGTGTTGCCGGCAGCCACCGCGCCCACAAACATCTCGTCGTCGAGTGTTGTGTGGCTGGTGACGACCAGGCCTGGAGCGCGGAGGACGGCGCGGGCGGCAGCGGCGGCCTCGAGTGCAAACCAGCGCTCTGCCCTCAACGACGGATTGTTGATGAGGGTGACGGCGAGTGCCCACCGGAGCCGGGCTCGCCGCGCCGTCGGCGAGAGCCGCGGCTTGGGAGGCGACGGAAAGCCCGAGTCCGGGTCGTCGATCCGCAGCCGGTACGGTACAATGTCGGCGCCGTCGCGCGCCCGCCCGTACAGCAGCGACTGGATGAAGATCTGCGAGGCGACGACCACCACAGGGTTGTTGTGGACGTGATCGAGGAGGAGCATCGCCACGTAGGCGTGGAAGCCTGGGTCGGCGTGCTCGCGGGTCTTGTTGACCACCGGGTAGTCCATTCGCAAAAAGGTAAAGACGAGCGCGCCGAGCGCGCCCGAGAACCGCACAATCGTGAGCGAGACGCCGTTGACAATGTTGAGAAAGGTATAGACGAGCTCATAGAGCGACCACCACCGTGGGTTCGGGAGGAGGAACGGGTGGTCGCTCGAGACCACGTACCTGGCAATGATAAACTTTTGCACAAGCTTCATGAGCAGATTGAGCGTGAGGAGCGAGAGCACGAGCGGGAGGATCCGCGACGCGCCGTACGCCCGTGTTGGCCGGAAAAAGACGAGGAAAAGACAATCCACAGAATGAGGAAGGTTGTCGCGTAGCCGGCAAGTGTGTGCACCGTCTGCATGCCGATGTACGCCGGCGCGCGGAGCGCCTTGTACTTGCTCTGCTTGTACAATACCTTGTCCACCAGCCCGCGCCGGAGCCGAAACACGTTCTTGCGGTAGTTGACAAGGAGCAGATACCACATGACGCCCACAAAGATGAGCGTGCCTACCACCGCCACCGCACCGGCGTCGAGAAGCGCTTTGCGGAGCTCGGTGAAGACCGGCGACGAGACTAGGCCCACCAAGTAGTGCGAGAGTGACGACGATGCCGAGAGCGCCACCTTGAGATCGCCTGCAGACGTATCGAGCCCAGACGCCGCAGCCGTAGCCTGCAGTGCCTGCTGCTGCCGCTCCAAGAGAAGCTCGACCTTGAGCAGCTGTTGGAACGCAAGATCGGCGTAGTACCGGACCCAGAGGACTGCGACAACCGCGCCGAGCGTCATGATTGCCACAAAAAAGCCCGCCACAAACGCGGCAATGACGAGCCGCTGCGGGTAGACAAAGTCAGCCTTGGTCTCAAACGGCTCAAACGGGTTGCCGCTTCCATCGTCGAGCGGGCCGGGGTCGATCTTGTCGGCCAGCACACTCGGGAGCTTGTCAGCGAGCGCAATCCGCCACCGCCGAATCCGCGACCCGGCAGCCTCCCGCAGCTTGTCCTCCCAGTACTGATTCGCATGGGTCGGCGAGAGCAGCCGCTTGACGGTCTCGAAGGCGAGAACCTCGCGCTTTTCCACAAACGTGGCCGCGCCACGGAAGGTGCCGACGAGAACCACCACGAACCAGACTAGCACCGCGAGCAGCGCCACAATCGTCACCACGTTGAGCGTGACCTCGAACGCGTCCTTGGGCGACGATGGCGCCACCGCGTTGGCCAGAAAAACAACGAGAAGGCCAGAAAGGCGAGTCCGAGAATGACCGCACCCACAATGGCGTACCGCGAGTTGCCCATGATGTTGCCATACAGCATCGGCAGCATGAGGATGAGGACAACAAAGACAAATGCTCGGAACGATGAGAGCCGCTCCGCGTCAGGAACCAGGACGTTGGTGACCAGGAACGGCGCCGACGCCACAGACTCAATGCCGCGCCCGCGGAAAATGAGCCGGTACGCGCCGGTTGCACCCGAAGTGAACCGCAGGTCCGAGAACCGCGCCACGCCATTGGCGTCGCTCACCGCCGTTCCGCGGCTCCAGAGCAGCTCCGGCCGCGACACATCCTGCGCGGTGATGGTCGTCCCGGAGAGACTTCCGTCTGTGGTCGACGACTGGACGACAACGGCCTCGATGGCGACGCCGGGGAGCGGGACGTTCTTGGCGTCGCCGAGGTCGCCAGTCACCCGAACAACCGGCTGTTGCATTGTCGACACGCCTTGGTCACCCTCGGACGTGATGAGAACCGTGTCGGACCGCCCGTTGAGGGTCCGCGTCGGAATGAGCGGCTTGGCGAGGCCAGTCGGCTGCTGGAGCAATGTCACTTTCTTGACATTGTTGGTGACAAGAAACGGCCGCGACGGCAGCGAGGCGACGAGGCCGTCGGTGGTGGTGATGACGAGGGTAAAGAGACCGGGCTCGGCAGACTCGACCGTGAGCGAGAGGTCGGCAATGCCGTTGGTATCGGTGGCGTTGGAAACGCGCGACGCGTCGAGTCGGTTGCGTCCGATCTGGTCGAGCCGGATGGCCTTGGCCACGCTCGTAGTTCCGCGGATGAGCCGCGCCTGGACAACCACTCCGCCAAGCACTGCGCCGCTCTTGATCGACGCCCGCACCGAGATGCGAAAGAGGCCGCCAACTGGAACAACCAGTGGCGGTTGGCGCACCAGCCGGAGCGACGAGACCCGCGACGTCAGCTCGATCGGCTCGAGCACAACCGATGGCGCACCGGGGAACGAGACCGCGAGCTCGTACCGCCCGGCGGCGCCGCGCTCGAACTTGGTATCGACCACAAACTTGGATCGAGCCTGGAACGGCCACAGCGACTGGGAAATCCGCGCCGATGCCGCCAGCGACGTGTTGCTGCCGTCGGCGTTGGTCACTACAGGGCCGGACACCACCGAGACCGTGGCATACGTTACATCCGGCACCACACCCGAGGCCGTGGTGAGCGAGAGGGTGATCGGCTTTGCAAACGGAACGCCAAGCGAGGCGACCGACGACGGCTGCTGCACAATGGCAATGGTGACAGTATCGAGAACTCGGACCGTGTTGGGCGTCCCCACGTCGTGAATCGGCCCACCATCGATGCCGGCGCCACCGTCGGAAAAGTACCGCAGACGGAGCGTCGCTGGCGTTTTGAGCGGAGAGCCGTCGGCGCCGACCGCGTACCACACCCCGATGTCTTCAAAAGTAGCAAGGCCGGTGGCGTCGGAAGGCAGAGAAAACATCGAGGCAACCTTGGCTTCCTCTCCAGACGCTACGGTCACCCGTCCGACAAATGCCTCGTCCGACTGTTCAAAGTAGCTGTAGGTCGTCGGATCCTGAGCGACGGCAATGAGCGCGCGCGCGCCGACCACAGGGTCACCGGCAGCGTCGAGGAGGCGGACCTGCGGCTGGGTGGTAAACGGAACAAAGAACGGCATGACGTCGGCGTTGGCACTGTCGAGCGCCGTGGCATCAAAGTACACTGCTGGCGTGACAATGGTGATGTTGGCTACCACCCGCGGAACGTTGACCTTGACCAGCCCGGTGAGGAGCTTGCCGCCGGCGTAGAAAAAGACGTCGACCGGGCCGACAACGTTGGGCAAAAACGTCGGCGCGCCAAACGCGCACACGCCCGAGGCGTTGGTGAAGCCTGCGACGGCCGATGAGACCACGCCCGTCAGCGGCACTTCACCGAGGAGCGAGAGAAAGGTGACGTCGACCGAGGTGTACGGCAGAACGTTGAGCTGGACGTAAGAGTTGGGGACGAGTGCGTTGGCGTCGTCGCGGACGATAACCGAGAGATCGGCTTGGACCGAAGAAAGATAGGTCGAAATCGGGTTGTAAAGCACAGCCTCGAAGAGGTTCGAGGCAACCGGCGAGGACCGGCCGGCGTTGGCACTCCCGCCGGGCGCGAGTGAGATCTGGTAGGTGAACGAGCCAGTGTACCCATTGACACCAAAGAGGTATGGAAAGGCAGTCGCGCGCCACGGCTCGTCCACAAGCGTTGTGTTGTAGTAGTCGACCTGGGCGGTGGCGGGAATAAGCTCATATGTGCTGACAAACGTCGCCGAGTTAACGAGCCGGACCGCGGTCTGGAAGAAGATGCCCGAGGGAATGAGTGGGTTGGAGAAGAGAATGGACGGAGTGAGCGGAATCGGATCCATGAACGCATTGAGGAGCGTGAGCGAGACGTTGAGGACGTCGGTGGGAAGAATGAGCGCTGGCGGCGGGGTGACGGTCTCGATCCAAGTCGCCACTGGCGCGACGTACTGATCACTCGCCGGGACAAAGGAGACGTTGAGCGAGGTGCGGACGCCATCGACGTCGACAACAAAGGTGAGATGGGTCGGCGGGAACGGAATGGGGTCGACGCCGTACGTCGAGTCAAAGTCGACGGCGGTGACGGTAAGCAGGTCAAAGAAGGCGAGCCCGTTGGCGAGTGAAGGCTGAGCGTGCGACTGGCCGCGTGCGCGCGGGTTGGGGATGAGCTTGGGCGTCTTGCCGGGAACCGGCCGGCCATTGGCGTCCGAGATGGCGACAACCGGAAAGTTGACCTCCTCGTACGGGACTGAAATGGGGAGGACCGGAAAGTATGAGACCGAGACTGTGGCAACAGTCGTCGTCACCGTAATGTCCTGGCTCACTTCTGAGCCGAGTCCGTCGACGACAAAGACGAGGGTGTAGACGCCGGCGGGGCCGTCGATGCCAAAGCCGAGATTGGCAAAGGTGACAAAGCCGTCGGCGTCAGTCTTGCCCGAAATGGGGTTGGTCAGCTGCTTGCGGTCTTCGAGCGGATTGACGTACTGCAGAAACTCGGGCTCGGGCACGCCGTCGCGGCGGGCGATGAGCGCAAAGGCTGTTCGTCCGGCGAGGCCGGCCCCGGCGGCGTTGGTCACCCTCAGCCGCGGCTGGACCGCCAGTGGCTGGCCCTCAACAACGGTTGCCGACGGCTGCTCGACAATGGTGATGGCATCGGCGTCGGTGAACACAATCGGCGGGCGGAAGGCGTCGGCAAAGAGGTCGAGGGCGGCGCCGTCGCAGATAAAAGTGAGATAGGCGACCGGATGCGAGGCAGCCACGACGGTGAGGGCTTCAAAGGCGGCGGCGCCGGTGGCGTTGGTTGTCGCCACGTTGTTCTCGAGGAGAATAACCTTGTCCGACTGCGGGAGCGGGAGGTAGACGACCTTGTCGGCACGGGTTGGGTGGTACTCGTCGACGGGAATAACAATCGAGCCGTCGATCGAGCGCGAGACAAGCCGTACAATGCGGCCGGCGAGCGGATTGCCCTCGGCGTCGTACGGAGTGACATAGAACGGAATCGACGCCGAGTCGCCGATAAACACGCCAGTAAAGTCGCTGAGCGAGGCGAGCGGCGGGACAGTAAAGTCGAGATAAGCGACCGGCGAGGTGACAGTGACTTCGACCGAGGTCGAGAACGGCCCGCTGACAAAGGTCACGTTGTACTTGCCTGGCTGCGTGCCGGGCGCAAAGCGGGTGGCGTCAAAGACGGCCACGCCGTTGGCATCGGTGGTGGCGGTGCCGTCGAGCAGGGCATCACAGAGATACGCGTACTGCTGCACCAGCAGCGTGGCCGCCAGCGGATTGCATCGGACTGTCCCCGCCACAAGTGGAGGGACACTAAACGACGCAATCGATGCCGTGATGACCGCGTCTTTGACGCCGAACCCGCGCTTGTTGGCGATGCGAAACTTGGCAAAGGGCTCGCTTGGCCTCGCTCCGGCCGATCCATCACCGGTGGCCACCACAGCAGCCTCCAGCTCACGCCTTGGAAGAAGCACCGTCTCAAGCGTCGCCGGAATGTTACGGCCGTATAGCGGGAGCGGGTTGCGGAAAAAGGCGCCAAAGATGAGGAAGGAGACAACCGCAAACAGCATGGTCATAGTGAGGGCGGAGAGGAGGCGTGACCGGACCCCGTCTCGAACATGCTCCAGAAACACAGGCGTCTGCCTGACAGAGCAGCGCTCCTCGTATTTGGATTGAGTCATATCCCCGCCCGTCTTTGTAGAGGTGAGAGTGAGAGCGAGTGGACGAGTGGAGTGGAGTGGTGCTTGGCGTCGACGGGGGTAGGGGGGTAGGGGGAGGGGGAGGGGGGAGGGGGGGGAAGCCCGTCGTGCAAGGATGGCACTTTTTTGTGGTGATAGCATTCTCTCCGCTGTCTCTGGCAAGCCAAGCCAAGCCGTATTTGGCAGTGGCCGTGACAGTGGCGCATGTCAGGTCATGTCATGCCACACCATGTCATGTTATCCTGTTCTGTCGTGTTGTGGTTCGGAAGCCGGCGACGGAGAGGCGAGGCGACGAGGTGACGGCGGCAGACAAGGAGTATGCAGGCAGGTTCTCTGGGAGTGGAGCCACTCCTTCTCTCACTCCCCCTCCTCCCCTCCCCACCCACTTCACGGTTCCATGTCTATGGCCAGTCTCCCACCGCTACCACCAGAAACGCTGGTGTACGGCCTGGGTGTGGCCCGGGGAACGACGCTGGTGGCCTACGCCTCGCGGTTTGTGGGCACCTTGCGGAGCGAGCTGCCGCGGGTGCTGGAGACGGCAGCGCCCGAGGACGGAGGTTTAGGCGAGGGCGAGCCAGTGGTGTATGCGCTGCAGGCAGAGGTATATATGCACCTGCTCCGCTGTACAGACTCATCGCTGGTGGCGCTGCTGGTGGCGCATCCGTCGCTGCCACGGCGGCTGGCTGCGGCAGCACTGCGGAGGATCGCCGGCCGCGCGGCGGATGTTCTGGCGGCGGCGGGCGTTGCCGGCGGCTCGCTGCTGCCAATGGAGCTGGATGCACCGCTGGCCAAGACGATGACCGAGGTGACGGCGCGACTCGCGGCGCTCCCGATGCATGTCTTTCGTGCTCTGCCGCCATCGTCGGCGACGGGCGAGGAGCCGGTTTACGATCTGGCCCCGGCACTGCTGGCGCGGAGCCGCAGCGAGCCGCCGTTTGTACTCGTCATTGAGCCCGCGATGGACAACGACGAGTCGTTTCTGCGGCTGCTGTGGCGGACCGACGCCGCCCGCAAGCGGTTCAAGCCGCCATCGTTTGCCCGCCGCCATCCTTACGTCATTGTCGGCCTCTTTGCCTTGGTCATTGTTTTTGGTCTGCTCATCTATGTCTTTGTCCTCGCGCCGCGGTACGGCTTCTCGCTCCTAGGCGATAAGTCGAAAGACCACTCTGTGTGACACTGGTCCACTGCGCTACGGAACTGCGCCACCCACCATCATCCGCCGCATGAGCATCAGCTGGATCCGTGCCTGAGGGTCACTGGCTACCACTCGACTCCACCGCTCTTCGAGCCCAACCGCCGTCTCCTGCGCGGCCGTCTGCCACTTGTCCGCCAGTCGCGTCACTGAGCTCTTCTCAGTGGAGACTACCGCCTGCAGGTAGTGCCACAGCAGGGCTAGGTGGTAAGGGCGCGGCTCGGTGCCCGGCCAAAGCTCGCATCGGAGCGTGACCGTGATGGCGTGGACTAGCCGCGGGAACGGCGTCCCATCCTCGGGTTGGGCGCTTGTGCTTCCGCATGCAAACTGATCCTGTACGAGCCTATTGAGCAACACCAGCGCCAGCTGTGGCAGTTCGCGGATGAGCGTTTGCAGCGCACGACTCTTTGCCGCGTCGTGCGGCAGGGCGACATACGCGCGGCTAGCAGCGTCGGCCGCGTCAAACTCGCGGAAATCGCTGTGCGCCCTGCCGCAGGCCAGCGCCTGCTGGGCGATGGCGCAGACGTGGCGCACGTCGCAAACGTCGGCCTGCGAACCCGCAGCAGCCACTGCGGCCGCCACCATCGCCGCAATGTTTCCCCGCAGCCCCTCGTCGTCGCCCTGCATGCTTGCGCAAAGACTGCACGACTCGACTCGCAACAGCGTGTTGCTGACTTCAGTGGTATGGACCACGCTGCCGTCGGCGACATACTGCACCGCACACACGCCGACGAGTGCCGCGCTGCCATGGTGCCCGTCAGCGCCACCACGCGCGATCGTGTCGAGCGCCTCGCGCACAACCTTAAAGTTCTCCGGTTGCCACACAAACTGGAGCGTGTTCGCTTCGCATGAGAGAGTGATCCGCCGCAGGACTTCGCCACACATGCGCACGACTGCTGCCGGTGCCGACTCGGGGAACCCAGACTGGCCGGCTGTCACCGCGTGCTCAGTGACCGACGCAGCGCGTCCGCTCGGCAACGAGGCGTCGGCAGTGCTCACCACCGACATCAGCATCTCCCATAGCGAACGCGGAGGCCAGAGCCGGCATCGGTCAAACAAGTACGCGAGTGAGAGAATACCGGTCAGTGGATCGCGGTCCTTGTTGATGGTAATCTCCATCGACATTTCCAGCTGCCGCGAGATGAGCGACGGCTTCTTGCGCGACGGCCGCGCTTGGGGCGCCGGCCGCGGTTGGTTCGGAGGCAGCGGGTGCGGTGAGAGGGCCAGCGCGAGCGGCGGGGATTGAGGGGACCTTGACGGCTGTAAAGCCGACGCCAGCGCACCGCCGCCTTTGATCGGAGTGATCTCGTTGCTCGGCTCGGCAGCGGCGGCGCGGGCCAATCGCGTGCGCGCCTGTAGCGCCACATGGTGCTTCCTGCTCTCGGCCTGTGCCGCCAGGATGTTACGGCGAAGGCTGTTGCCAAGCAGCGAGTCCGGGCGTGTGACCAGCGGTGTGCTCTCGGCTTGCGGCCTCGGCATCGAGTTGGAGAGCGACGGGCTTGACCGCCCAGCGCGCCGCGAGCTCAGCGCCTGCGGCGGCTTGGCCGGCATCCTCGAACGGGCTTGCCTGATCTTGTTCTTGAGCACCAATGCTGCGGTGTCTGTGGCCTGCGTTCGGCCCACCATAACCGGCACCGGCTGCGGTAGAGGTGACGGCTGCTGTGACGAGGCCGAGGGCGTGAGATGGCGCATGGGAGCTTGCTGCAGCTCTTGCTCGCCAGCGGTGTCTGTGGCCTGCGTTTGGCCCACCATAACCGGCACCGGCTGCGGCAGAGGTGACGGCTGCTGTGACGAGGCTGAGAGCGTGTGATGGCGCTTGGGAGCTTGCTGCAGATCTTGCTCGCCAGCCAACTCCTCGTTAGGACCACCAGCCCCAGGCGACGGCGTCGCCGATCCTGCAAAGAACTCGAACGCGTCTTCGCCGCCAAGCACGTCGATGGCCGAAATGACTCGCCGACTGGGGGCGACTGCAGGTTGAGCAGGCTGCGGCTGTCCGGCCTGTGCGCGCTTGCGCTTGCGGATACGGCACCGGCCACGGGAGATGGACGAGGTGATATCGATAACATCTTCATCGCCGATCACCACCACTGGCCGTGGTCGTGCTACATCTGGCCCATGTCGCCGACCACGGGACTTCTGCGAGCGCTCGGGGTAGCTCAGGTCGATGTCGTCTTCGGTCAGGTCGATGACCGTAGCCATGGGGGGAAGAGGGTGGTGGGAGTGGTGGGGAGAGGTGTGGGCTATGTGTTGTGGGGGTGGTTGTGCGGGGGCTGGTGGCGGTGGGTGTGTCTCGCTTTGGCGGTGGTCGTGGCGTGGTCGGCGTCGCGAGTCGCATTCACTTTCGAATCTACCGAGCCAACTGTCAGAGTGCGGGCATGGGCAGACGGCGATGATGGGCAGAGGGCGGGGATGGGTAGAGAGCGATGATGGGCAGAGGGCGGGGATGGGTAGAGAGCGATGATGGGCAGAGGGCGGGGATGGGCAGATAGCAATCATGGGCGATGATGGGTAGTGGGCAGAAGGCGATGGACGGCGGACAGTGGGCTACGGCCGCAGGTCGATAAGACGCGGCGGGCAGGGCTCGGTGAAAAAGGTCCAGAGATTGGCGATGACGCCGCGAGAGTAGATGGCTCGGACTGCATCACCACTCCCGTTGAGAGACTCCTTGGTGAGGACGTTGCGGGAGACGAGGCGGAGGTATGCGCCGCCCATGGCGAGCAGGTAGCCAGCGAGGTAGATGGAGGTCGTCGAGGCAGTAAAGATGAAGAGCCGCAGTGCCCATACATCCACCGCTGAGGAACGGAGGCCGACCGTCTTGAGGTGCGCCATGGCGAATGCGAGGCAGACGCAGGTGAGGAGGACACAGAGGACGCCGGCAATGAGATGGAGCGCCACAAACGAGCGATGGTTGCGCCGCCCGATGCAGTTGGCCACAAAGATGCAATGGTGGTCGAACCGGAGCACGCACACGTTGCAAGTCCGGCAGTGCGACGATCGCGGCGGTCTTAAGATGCCGCATGTGGTACACAGCTTGTCTCCCACGCCTTCCTCCGCCTCACCGCTCACCAGCGCAACACCAGCTTCGCCACCGGCAGCAGTGCGTACAGGGAGCTCGCGATGGGACCCAGGAAGCCACCGGCGGTAGTCGGGCTCGTCCACTGCCGCCCGCGGCGGGAGCCAGCCCGGATCCGACCATGCCGCCCCGATGAGCGCCGCCAGCGACGCCGCCGCGAGGACGATAACCGCTAGCTGCGTCGCCACTGCACCCGCAGGTGCCAGGGCCAGTGTCTGGCTCGGAATGACGCCAAAGACTGCGATGGCCGGGCCCACCACGATCAGCGTCGCAATGGCCAGCGGAGCGTACGCCGTCGACGGCGAGGTCAAGCACGGCGGCGCGCCTACAGCCTCCGTCACCGCCGGACACACCACCGCCATGTTGCCCTGCCACCCCCCGTCCCCAACTCGCATTCGGAACATTCCGCCTGACGGACGATTGCTGGTGGAGGGTGGGGAGGGGTGGGGAGGGGTTGGGTGGTTGACAGGCAGCGGGTGGCGGGCGGGTGGCGGGCGGGTGGCGGGCGGGTGGATAG